TGTACAGCAAAGTGAATCAGATCCAGTTTTGTCTGACTCCAAACCCCTGCCCTCTGCAGCACGCCACCCTTAGCTCAGAATTGCGAGATAGCACCCTTAACTGGCGACGTGATTTTGAACAAGTCAGTTCACCTCTCTGGCCTTCCATATCTCCCTGTGTTAAGGTAAGAGGTGTGGTCTCCTGCTCTTTCCAGCTTGAACCTTCTATGATTCCCAGGGCCTGGAAGCCTCAGTGTTGCTCCATCAGTAACTCCTGGTGAACTGACAGATCAAGATAAGCACTGGGTTTGCACCATGGGGTCAGTCTTCGATTACAATGCCCTCTGTTTTCAACTAAATAAGAACTGTCCGCTGGAAGATTCTACTTTGTGCACCAGGATGTAAAGTTATTTGTAGCTGCATGCAGACTCAGACACTTGTTGTGCCCGGAGCAGTACTCACAGGGTCAGCACCGTGCGGTGGAAGGGGCACCTTGCAGTGGAACCCAGCGTTGTCAGCAGGACTGGAAAGATAGGCACATTCACTCTGACCTGAAGCTGACTTGCTGTCACAGGACAAGGGCCTCCAATGAGGGTGGGGGGGGCTTTGGCCTGTTGTTCCTCATGCTCCCACCCGTGCAAAGCCTGAGACCCCTGACCTGTTCCTCCAGCTGCAGCCTCTGCCCCTTTGACTTGTCACCCCTCTAGCGCTACCCCTTGAGGCTGATCTTCACCAGATTCCCCCTCTGGGTGGATGCACATGCGCAAGGAGGGTCCAGCACACAGTGGGTCTCACCCGGGCTCATTCTCCACTGGGTTTGCTAGAAAGAATGGCCCTGACCCACCCCCTCGCCCCCTGCCCAGGGACATCAGGACTGGAGCTTTGAGCAAACTGTGGTCACCTTCCCTTCTACTTTTACAACCAAACCTCTGAGCCCAAAGAGTGGCCTATTCTTGTCACATCCAGGCTCCTTCCACCTCAGAGACCTGAGAGCTATTTATAGACTGCCTGCAGTTCTGAGTGTGTGATCTTCTTTCTAGCCAGAGGACACAGGGATCCCAAAAGATGGCGTCCTTGGGCGCCAGACTGGGCCCCTCACAGCCACTGTCACAGAACTGGAAACTTGGAACTAGCTAACAGTTTTGAGCAATAGCTTCTAGTGGGATCCTAGTCACAAAGCAGCCCGCAGGGAGCCAGGTTCCAAACACATGGAAAGGGGAGCCAGAATGCGAATCCAGGGGGACTTAGAACTATGGGGAAACCGCACAGGGGGAGGTAGGAAGACATTCCTGGGGGGATTTTCCTCAGCCATTAGCACAGTGCACAGGTAGCCTTTCTGCTTTTTATGTGGTCTCTGTGGCTGCAGGGAGCCCCGAGGATACAGACCAAAGGAGACCTTGATCTCCTGTGTAGTCTCGCTTTGTACCTGGAAAAATCATCCAAAGAAGGAAATTCCCTTGGTACTTTCTGTCAAAAGTTCAGAACTTTTCATCAATTCCTTGGTGAACTGTTACAAGACAGACATAAAATGCATTTTCTTGGCTGGAAAACTGTGTTGACTACAGAATAAGCCTTCCAAGAACCAGGGATAAAAATAAGTTGTCTGTCTCCTCTACTGATATCATGAGAGGCCAGAAGAGAGAGAGGGGCTATACACCCCTTTCTCTATTTTGGGAAAGACATATCCTTACTTGTTGGTTTGTTGATAATAATGGAATGCAAAGCTGGAAGGACCTCCGGGACAATGATTTTCAAACTCTGTAAAACCATAGGGTTCAGGGAGGTCCCCAGGGTGTCATCATGCAGGTAAGCAAAGGGCCAAAGTCACCTAGGCATTCCTACCCCCAACTTCAACGAGAGCAGTTCTGCTTTAATGTGGTTATGTATTCGGGTCATGTCAGAATGGTTTCATGGCTAAAGAAATGTTTGTTTGGAAGCTCATGAGCTACTCCAATGCCATATTTCACAAGGAAAACCAAAAACAGAAAAATGAGATGCAGAGGGACTGAATGACATGTCCACAGAATGTGAATGGCTGAATCAAGATGAGAGCCTGGGTCTCCTGACTCCTGGTTCACTCAACATTCATTCAACAAATAGTTATATAGCACTACTAGGTGCAAAGCACCTTGCTTGGTAAGGCGGGAGAGCCAGGATGAGAAAGATGTGCTTGCTGAAC